CGTTTAAATTTGAAGAAAATAGTCTATATCTAACGCTGTCAAACTATGGGATGAATAACTTTTGAGGTCGGTTTTTTTAGTACTCTGTGCTGTTTTTTGCTTTAATTTTTAATTATTCAAATAAACCCTAGTCTGGAAACACAATATCCGTAGTTGCGGTCGTTATCCCACTATAGATGAGTACAGACTTGAGTCTCGGGGCTAGAACTAATAATGTATTACAAAACCATTTGACATTTTCGAACCGGCTCGTATTTTCATTGACGGACTTCGAGAGAAAGACTGTTTGCACACAACGTCCGATTCGTATTAGTTCCGAATCTGAGAAATGACGGTCCGAAATATTTATTTATTTATATTATAAAGGACATCCAACAGCATACGTACAGAACTTAAAAACTAATTTACATGACCAATAAGTGTATACCGTCCCAAAAATACCTAAAATGAAACAGCCTGTATGTTCCAATAACACGTTTTTATTTGAAAATCACTCCACAGTTATACAATTTCCGTGAACAACTCAATAGCGCATTTTAGAAAATTGCATAAAAGGTTCAACGCCATCTAGCGGCATCTTACCTAAACTAAATTTGTGTATAATGTTAATAGAAGTATTAACAATAAGTGTTGCCAATTACAGGATATCACTGAAAAAGTGGCATGACGTGACATAGTGAGTTTAGAGTTCATTGAATGAAAATATCAGTGATAATTTTATCTTTAGGTGTACAAGCGATACTCGTACATTCTCGGATTCGAATGGGACTTAGTGCACAAGCGACATCCGAAGTGGGTCCGAGTTTTCTAGGTATAGTCTCGGATTGAAACAACTCAATAGCGCGTTTTAGAAAATTGCATAAAATGTTCAACGCCATCTAGCGGCACATTACCTAAACTAAATTTATGTATAATGTTAATAGAAATATTAACATTCCGCCCGCCATGGACCAAGTCCATAAACGGAAATAATACAAACATAAACAGAAACAGAAAAAAATCTACTTTATAAATGTAAACGAACAATTTTACTCAACTAAAGGAACTAAACTTCTAAATTAAAATACAATAAATTGTATATTGTGCAAAGATAACAACAATGCAAAATAACCTAACGACTTAGTTACACCTTAAAATTACATTTAATTGTAAGTACTAGTAAATTATAGTGTTCGTTAAATCACTCGCTATCTAAAGGCAAAACGATTAACTTCGACACAGGTCGCTTAATAAAGTTACCTTTATATTTAATTGTGACTACTCGCGTTAATTTGTCCAAACCGGGATGTTTTTCAGTTATTAATTTATTTATTTTTCAGGGATAATAAACAATTGTACATGAAATGTTTACAATCAGAGTTAAATATTTTTAACATAGGTACACGTACAATCAACAGCATTATCCACAAGTTACTATTATATTAGAATTAAAATTAAAAATAATAAGTAATAATACCAAAAAGTCACCTACCAGGTGGGAACTTCAGGTTCTGGGATCTGACGATTTATATCTGTGCTGCAGCTGCGTCAAATATTCATGTGACCATCTACGCCAAAAATCCTGGACCATACGTTGAGTAAGATGCCACCATTTGAGATTGCTAATGTTGGCATGTTCATAATGAATGTCGGGTACGAGCACTAATGGCTTCCCTACTAGGAAATGTCCGAGTGTTAAAGGATTTGGATCGCCTGGATTATTCGATAACTGAGAAATAGGCCTTGAATTTAAGCACGCCTCAATTTGTGACAAGGTTGTTGTCATTCCTTCAAATGTGAGGGTGCTATTGCCTATGACCCGCTTGATATGGTGCTTAGTTGACTTCACGCCCGCTTCCCACAATCCTCCAAAGTTTGGAGAATGGGGAGGGATGAAGTGCCAATTAGTGCCATTTGAAGACATCCAACGCGATTTCAGCCACAACACTAGATCTTTCCGTATCCAACAGTTTCTTTAATTCCCTAGCGCCTCCCACAAAGGTAGTGCCATTATCACTCCACAAATCTGCAACATGACCCCTTCGTGCAACAAACCTTTTAAACGCAGCTAAAAAGCTTTGTCCAGTCATATCACTGACCATTTCGAGGTGTATGGCATTTCTGGCCATACACACAAACAGGCAGTTGTGGAGGCCCTTTGTGCAGTGACAACCGCGACTCTTTGAAAGGCGCACGCTGATTGGGCCAGCATAGTCTACGCCACATCCGGATGGAAAGGTCTATGTGCGGTCATCCTTGATATGGGCAACTGTCCCATCATTTGTTGGCTCGTTTGAGCATAGTGGCGGACGCAAGTCACACATTTGTGCACAAACCGACGAACGAGACTCTTTGCACCAATAATCCAATACCGGCTTCTCAAATAGTTAAGCATTAATTGAGGCCCTCCATGCAACGTAGTCTTATGTGCTTCGTCAATCACTAATTGTGTCAACGGCGACTAGTGAGGGAGAATAAACGGGTGTTTGATGTCTTCATTGACCTGAGCACCTTGTAACCTTCCACCAACTCAGAGGATTTGATTTGCGTCTAAGAATGGATTCAGAGAAGTAAGTTTACATTTGTTATAATTATTAATACAAAGATCGAACACTCAGAAAAAGCACTCAGAAAAAATTCCTTCGATCCGGTCGGATTCGAACCGACATCTTCTTGCATACCGTGGCAGACGCTATACCAACTAAGCCACGGAACGAACCAACGGACCTCACGAATTTTTCTATGTGCTTGCGTCGTGTCTTTGTACTTGGTCTTTCAACGACTTTTTAGTCGTAGCGCCATCTATGAGAAATCTTTGACAGATTTATCACCCAGTTAGTACCTTTACAGCTACCAGTCCTGGCAAAAAATTTTTTCGGATCGAAGGAATTTTTTCTGAGTGCTTTTTCTGAGTGTTCGATCTTTGTATTAATAATTATAACAAACTAGTGGAGTAATTTCACAAAAAATAATTGAATATCAATTCAATAAAAATTTAATTAATACATTGAATAGCGACATCTCTCGCCAGGACTGGTACCTGTAAAGGTACTAACTGGGTGATAAATCTGTCAAAGATTTCTCATAGATGGCGCTACGACTAAAAAGTCGTTGAAAGACCAAGTACAAAGACACGACGCAAGCACATAGAAAAATTCGTGAGGTCCGTTGGTTCGTTCCGTGGCTTAGTTGGTATAGCGTCTGCCACGGTATGCAAGAAGACGTCGGTTCGAATCCGACCGGATCGAAGGAATTTTTTCTGAGTGCTTTTTCTGAGTGTTCGATCTTTGTATTAATAATTATAACAAACTAGTGGAGTAATTTCACAAAAAATAATTGAATATCAATTCAATAAAAATTTAATTAAGTTTACATTTCTTATTTAATTTTCTACAATTCTGCAAATTATCAATGTCTTCATAGAAACTCTGTTTTTGGTACATTTTTATACAGTTAAGCAAAGCATCGTTGATTTCTTTTGCTGTTAACTGTGCACTAATATTTTCAGTTTTGTCTTTTTCAGATTTTTTCCACCGCAGGACCCTTCGGCAGAACGACAGCACTCTGGTAAGTTTCTTTAAGGTCGAAAATCGAGACAATAGCTCATCGTTTTCTTCGTTGCTTGTAGTTACATGAATCATAATTTTAGGTTTTCTCTCTTCCAGGTTTGTATCCTTCAACTCGCTTTTTTGGTAATTAATTTCTTCCAGATGCAACCAATCGGGACACTGATTCCAGAGCAAATTCTCAACACATTCTGACGGTTGTGTTCCTTAGAGGCAACGTGAGACCATTGATCTCTATCGGTAATGGTGAGGATCTCCGATACCCTGTTTGCGATGAAGGTCTTCCACCGGCTAGGATGACTACTTAGCCAGGCTAGTACAATTGATGAGTCGTTCCATGCATGTAAATTCCCTTTAGGTACTTAAGGAGTATCTGCCACTGCATTTAAAAGCTTGGATAGTAATACCGCGCCACACAGCTCTAGGCTAGGGATGGACACTCTGGTTTTGGAGGTGATCAAATGCACATGAACTCTTCCTTGTTCATCAATTATGCGCGCGTAGACGACTGCTGCATACGCCACATTGGACGCGTCTGAAAACCCGTGCAATTCAAATACTTTGTCGTCTTTTTTGGAGTGGATCTATTGAGGTACTCGAAACTCCGAGAGCGCTTTCAAATTGTTTCGAAATTTCGTCCAGTTTTTAAGAATTGAATCCGGAAGTACACTATCCCAATCGACGCTGGATAGCCACACCTGTTGAATAAAAACTTTGGCTGTGGTGATAGCCGGTGCTATCCACCCCAAAGGATCGTAGAGACGAGCAATATCAGAGATCATCTTTCGCTTTGTTACAGGAGCTTGCAAAGGAGGCAGATCGACCGTAAAACGAAATTCGTCAGCTTCTCTATTCCATTTCAGACCGAGAATCTTTATAACGTCGTCGGTCTTCAGTTCCAAATTTTGGTTTACATCATCTGCCTCCTTTTTGATTACCTTCAGTAAGTCCTTGCTATTACTTGACCACTTTTGAAGTGGAAATCCTCCACGATTCAACAAAGTAGTAATTTGCTCGTAAATTTCTAATCGTTCACCTATGGAATGACAGCCGGTCATCAAGTCATCCATATAAAATTCATTAAGGACTCTAGAGACCGCTAATGGGAATTCAGAACCGTCGTCGTTGACTAGCTGCTGGAGACACCAAACAGCAAGGAATGGGGCTCAGGAAGTACCAATAGTTACTCGCAAAAAACGAAGATGTTGTAATGCAACATCTGGATTTTCACGCCAAAATATACGTTGAAAATTTACATCTTCATCAGCCACCTTTATCTGCCGATACATTTTAACAATGTCGGCTACAAGAGCGATCGGGTAGCACCGCCATCGCATTATCAAATGTCGCAATTCTGGTTGGAGAGTAGGACCCGCCATTAATTCACTATTCAATGATATTCCATTAGAATCGGTGCATGACACGTCAACCACCATGCAATCCTTTGTAGTAGACTTATCTTGACGAAGCGTGGTGTGGTAGATATACTACTCCTTTTTTGACCACTTCACTTAGTTTTACCACTTCTGCATTGCCCGAACTGAGGTACTCCTCTAAGACCTTGGAATACTCAGTCTTGAGATTGGGTGTTCTCAACAAACGTCTTTCTGACATGAGAAAACGCTTGTGCGCGATATTCTTTAGATTACCGTGTAGACAAAGTGAATTTTCCGTTTTGAAGGGTAGTTTGACGATGTACCTACCAGACTCATCGCGTCTGGTAGTTTTAATAAAAAGTTCCTCACACCTTTTCTCTTCTAGAGTTAAGTGTTTAGTCCTATCAAAGGATGGTTCAGACTCTAGCTCCCAAAACTTTTTGAGAAGCTCGTTCTCATTTGATTGAGCTAAATGTCGGTTTACTACATTGAGACACGATTCGCCACGGTTGATTTCGCTTTTATTTTCGCTGAGTATTTTACCAGATAAGATCCAACCGAGTCTTGTGTGTTGTGCAACGACAGAGCCGGAAGAACCTCTGATCAAACCTTCCAACAAGATCTGGCTATATACCTCAGCACCTAAAATAATATCTATTCTGTTTGGTGTGTCAAATGATGGATCAGCTAATTCCATGGACGGGAGTGCTTGTAAAGCTTGAACAAAAACCTTACTAATTGGTAGAAAAGTTATCAGTTTACTTAAAACATGAGCCTTAACCGTAATAGAAAAGCTTTTAAAAAAGACGGGACTGAATTTTTATAACTACCAACGACTTTGAAGCTAAAGTCGATTTTCCTTTGCAAATTTTTAAATTTACAATTATTAAAACTGCAAGTTATGATTGTAATCGCAACATGAGCACAATTGGTCTTTTCAATTTTTTGAACCCTTGCATCCAGATATTCCAACGATCTAAACCTACCTTGTAAAAATTCTCCACATTGATTAAAATTAGGTAAATCACTGTTGGAATCACTAATTTTCTGCTCCCATTGTTTACGGGATTCTGGTTCTAATTTTTGACTAATATCGTTTACCCCGATACTTTTTAATGCATGTAGGCATTCCTTGGCAGTGTCCAACAATTGTTTGATAGCACTAGCTGACTCAGATACCAGGACCTTTCGAGAAGTCAACTTTTTCAAAATATTGTTAGCTAAATACCTTTTGTTATTGTAACGACTCTCCAACTGTGCAAAACAAACCTTATAATTGTCAGAAGTAACCGATATGTGTCGAAGTAATTGTTCTGCCTCACCAATTACACAACTTTTCAGGTAATGTAATTTCTGAACATCATCTACATTGGGATTGTTATGAATAAGGGAGGTAAACAAGTCATGAAAACGGATCCATTCTGAATATTTGCCTGAAAATTTCGGCACTGAGATCTTAGGCAGCTTTACTGCAGTTTGTTCACCACCCTTCTTCTCATCCCCTTTGACTGGATTGAGCCTAGGGTTCAGGTTTAACAATGTGTCTTTTAATAGCGATTTGTACTCGATATATATCTCTTCGGTTTGATCGTAAACATCAGATATGTAACAACTAGTTTTTTCGAGTTCTTCTCGCCTTATCTCGTATACAATTTTTCGATGATTACTAATGAATTCATTCCACTGCCGTTCTAAAGTTTCCAAACGA